CCACTGCCCCTGTTACACCATAGGTCTGATGAGAGCTACCTCTGCGCTGTTGGATACCCGCCCTCTGCTGGCAACTAGGGTTGCTCCACTAAGCACTGGGATCTCTTTCAATATCTGGACACATTTAGTGTATCACAGTCCTGATGTGCTAGAGCATCACGCCATAATTTATTTCCCTGGATAAGATGGAGAATGTCTCTCACCCCTTTGCATTGTATTCTTCAGGGGGAGAGTTGTTAAAAACTATACTTCTGGGGTTCCAATGTTGTGCTGAATTTTTAGACTTTAAGACCTGTCATTTTTTAAAATCTAGTTGGGCTGGGATGGGGATACAATCTGAGTGACTGTCCTTATGCTGGTGTTGGAATCATCTTTCCCCCAGAGACCTGCGCTCCGTTGCTGCCTGGGCTCTTGTTGTTTGGCTCCTTCTTCTCTTAAAATGCACCATTTCCCAGAAGGATGCATTCCATGCCCCCCCACCCACATCCAGATGCACATCTGTCTGCCTGCCAGCCAGACCCCACACGTCTGAGCCCCAGCAGTGGAAACCTAGGATTAATGAGATTCTCCACTTGCCTACTTTTGCACATCTTATTGTTCCCAGTTGAGATATTTCTTACCCTGCAGTGATCTTCTTGAAGAAGTCTTTCCTCAAAAACTCACCAAGTCTAATTATTCCTTGTGCCCTGTTTTGTACTCCTGTCAGGTGGTTTATAATGATTGTTCTGCAGTTACTGTCTCCTGTTATATATGACTTCCTACCTTGAGACACTCCTTACTTCAATCATTATGCACACAGTTACTGTATCAGTCTTCCTAAGACAAATGCTTTGATAAGGCTGCCAATCTTCAATAGCTCCCACTTTCTATAGGAAAAAAGTATAAACTGCTTAGCCTGGCATTCAAGGTCTCCCACAATCTACCTCACCTACATTCCCAGTCTGGTTTCCCATTCATCCCCTAGTGGAACTCCCCTCCAGCACAGCAGTCATGCAGTGACCCCTCTCTTGGCTTTTGTTTATTTTCTCTTTTCTTCTTCACTGTTTACAATCTTAACCATACATGACATGCACACATTCAAACATTATTTTCTCTGTGTTGGTAATTAATTAATAAATTAACATAGGTAAAGCCCTTAATAGCACCTTGTATATAGCAGGCACTCGATAGACAGTAGCTGATACTATTTGTTCTCATCTTATTGTTATTATTTCAAGAAATCCATGATCACTGGGACTACAAGGAAGAATGACAGTCCTTGCCCTTGCCAGGCTCAGCTAAGAGGAGAAGAGTCTCACATAGTAATAACTGATAACAACAAAATATAATGACTAAGTAGGCGGTCAGTGCTGAGTGCTTCAGGGGCAGAGAGCAGGAAGCACTGAAGATAGACTTCACTGAACATACAGTGAGTTGGCTTTGAAGAATGGGTAGAGTTGAACTGCTGAAACTCGTTCACTGAAACATTTTGACTTGCATTAATGCTTTATGTCCCCGCATTTATATTAAAAATTTACACACAAATGAAAATGGAAAAACTGCCAATACCTGATTTCTGTCCCCATTTTTCCACTTGCAACCATATACTTAGGTACCTTTTGACCCCATGGAAAAAAAAATCTAACGTTCAGAACTACCAATAACAGGAAGAAGAGTTTTGTTTGTTTGTTTGTTTGTTTTAAAGAATGAAATGTTTCCCATCATATTGGATTCTTAAGCACGTTCTCCACGTATGCGGTGTGCTAGCTGGATGTCGTTTGTCATAATTGTTACATATTTGGCATGGATAGCACACAGGTTGGGGTCTTCAAAAAGGCTAACCAGATAGGCCTCACTTGCCTCCTGCAAAGCACCAATAGCTGCACTCTGGAAGCACAGATCTGTTTTGAAGTCCTGAGCAATTTCCCGCACCAGACGCTGGAAGGGAAGTTTGTGAATCAGAAGTTCAGCGGACTTCTGATAACGTCTAATTTCCCAGAGTGCCGCGGTACCAGGCCTGTAACGATGCGGTTTCTCCACCCCTCCAGTAGAGGGAGCACTCCTGCCAGCCGCTTTTGTAGCCAGTTGCTTCCTCGGTGCTTTACCACCGGTCTATTTTCGGGCGGTCTGCTTTGTCCGAGCCATGGTATAGCGACGTCTTTACTTACCCCCCCACTTCTCCTTCGGCTGGAGCTCGGCAAGCTAGAGGCGGCCCTGGAGTTGGAGAGCGATGGCGCCGCGGCGGCGGCGGCTGCGAACACAAGGGGTACCTTCTTAAAAATTACATTTTTAAATTGTTGATAAAGGATAATTATTGATTTTTGTAAATTGTGATGTATCCAACAACCTTGCTATACTCAAAATTTCTCAATTGATTCTTTTTGGTTTTCTACGTATATAATCGTTTGCAAACAACTGTAGTTTTGTTTCTTTCTTTGTAGTACTTACCCATTTTAATTCTTCTTCATGTTTTACCAAATTCACTAGTGCACAATTATACAATCTGGCACAATGCTGAATATGAGCAGTGAGAGTCAGAATGCTTAACTTGTTCCTGACTGAAACGGGAATTTCCTCAGAATTTAATGTTTCAAATTAAATATGATGTTTGCACTTTTTGTTAAATGCCTTTTATCAGGTTAAAGAAATTTCCTTCTAAGTTTGTTGAGAAATTAATGAAGTAAATTGTATCAAATTCTATTGAAATAATCACATTTCTAATTCATTGTTGCAAAGAATTTCTAATAGTTTTTTAATTAAAAAATGCTCTCTCATGATGTATTTTTTAATACACTAACTTAAAACTGTTTCCTTCTACTCCAAAAAGTTCCATTCCTATCGATGCCAATATAATCAATTATTTGCTTTATTTCACATTACATGCAACAGTCTTAGAGTATGTTACTGAGCCAAATTGGGTTCCACTAGCCCCATGCACAGCAAAGCCAACCCACTGACAACAGGTTGTGGTGATGGAAAGTACAGTGTTCACTGCAGGCCTCCAAGCAAGGAGAATAGGCAGCTAATGCTCAAAAAACCCGAACTCTCTGACAGCTTTCAGGAAAGGATTTTTAAAGGCAGCATTAGCCATGAGGATTGCAGGGTGCATCATCAGCTTGTGGACTTTCTTCTGGTTGGTTGGTTGTCAGGGTGATGTTTTGGGAATCTTAATCATCAACCTTCAAGTTCCAACCTGTCTGGGGTCCATGTACTAGTGATCAGCATGTAGTCACCGTCCTCCACCTGGGTGGGAGGGGTCTTAGTTTCTGCAGGATAACACAGAGATATACATCAGATTGTTATGTATGTCCCTTCAGGAAGAACTAGGAGTCCTGTGACTCTACAGTTTAAGATATTATTTTTCTTGCTTGACTGATTTCCTTTGTTTCTGCATTCCCTCACTTCTCTAATTAGTAGCTCCTTGAGTCTGCTCTTTGGAACTTGGGGAAGGCCTAGGAGACTAAAGCCTTTTTTCTACAAACAAGAAATAGTGTACATGGATGGGCTTTTGTACCTGCAAAGGCCCTGCAGGCTTCTGCTAAGTTTTAATTCTTGATTTTCTTTGATACTTCGCGATCCTCAGGGGTACAGGGGTGGAACAAGAAAGGGAATACAGTTTTGGATAGAGAGGTTACTCAGAAACTTGGCAGAAGAACTCAGTTTTTTAGGGGAATTTGTTTCAAATAATAATACAAACAAAATAAAAATCAATGTGATTACTGAAGACATTTTTAAGATTTTGGTTTTGCAGTTCTTTTGTCCTAAGATATAGATTTGTTTTAGTCACTTAAAGTTTAAGTGAGCTAAACACTATTGTAAAATGTTCCTTAAATTAGGAAACAATTTGTGATCATGCACTACATTCAAGCTATTGGGTATGAGGAACTATGGGCATACACACTTATTGAGAACTTCGTTTTCAAATGTTTCTTGAACTCATAGCTGAAGTATTTCATAATTGCAATACTTGTGTTCAGTGATCCAGAATGACCAATATTTATTAATTCTGAGGCTTTATTTTAAAAAATGGTTAAATTTTCCATTGCCACCCCCAATACTTTTCCCCAAATCATAAATCACTCAAGGCTCAGATACTATAATTACTGAGACTCCCACTGATTCCCTATGGTCTGTGTTCTGAATAGCTTCAATAAATAATAAATGAAACTTTTTCAATTCCTATTATATTCTTGACCTTAAAGACTTTGTTGGGACCTGAAAGACATATCAACCAATGGCAATGATTTAATTTTATTTTGGTCCTGATTTGGACAAATGAACAATACAAAAATATTTATTAAGACCAGAGAAATTTGAACACCAGTTATTTTGGTATTAAGCAATAATTTTTTTTCAAGCGGGATAATGGCATGGTCAGTTTTTCTTTCCCTCAAAGATTAGTTATTTTTTAAAGCTACATGCTTAAAAATCTATAAATGAAGTGATACGTCTGACATTCTCTTCCCTGGGGGAGAACTGATTACTGCTTATACTATTTACGGTCAAGATTGTCAAAATACCAGTACTTGTTAAAGGTCATTAATGAGTAAGGTCATTATTCCGTTCCTCTATATGATTGAAATTTTCCAAAGGGCTTTTAAAAAAATATTCTTTTAGGAGAGAGCACTATTGCAAGTTCAAAGAAAAGGCCAGAGCGCGCCCCTCCCAAGAGTGAAGCATTACTGTTTGGAAAGCAGGGGCTTTCTCTTTTATCCCCACACCTGAATCAAAGCTGTTAAATAGGTATTCCTAAATGGCTCAAGGAGCTAAGTGTCTGAATTACATGAAATTGTATGTACAACCCAAGTGTACCAGGAGCTATAATTAACAGGCTCCTCTAACATCCCACCAGCTGTTTCGTTTCCTCCCTGCTCATCTCACTCCATCCCAGAGACTCCTCACACATCCAAGATGGTGGGTCAGGACCGCGTAACAGGGTCAGCTCTCTCTCCCGGAGCGTGCGCTGGCGCCGGGAAGCGCAGGCGCATTCCTGCTTCCCCGCCCGACCTTGGCAGATCGCGCCTGCGCAGTAGGGAGCTGCTCGCGGCTCCCGTTCGGCCTTGGGCTGACTGCAGTCTCAGTGTGAGGGCGGCCGAAGTGGCTGGCTCGTTTAAGATGAGACTTCTGCTGCTTCTCCTGGTGGCGGCGTCGGCGGTGGTCCGGAGCGATGCCTCGGCCAACCTGGGCGGCGTGCCTAGCAAGAGATTAAAGATGCAGTACGCCACGGGGCCGCTGCTCAAGTTCCAGATTTGGTGAGTATGTTCGCCGGGCCCGGGCCGCCCCACGGCGCCTCTCCTCGGCACCTCTCAGTACGCGAGGCCCTGGCTTCGCGGCCTAGAAGGCTGAACCTTCCTTGGCCCGAAAGAACGGTGCCCGCGGCCTTTCGCTGCCTGCCTTTTCCGCGGCTCTTCCCGGGGTCGGCCAGGCCGCCCTCCTTGCCTCCAAGCACGACCGCCCACATCTTTTTTGGTTCCTAGAATGGAGGGAATAGGGAAGGAGAGCAGGAGAAGGTTAATACTGAAAGGCGAAGACGTGGGGACACTTGTCAGTACGGAGGACCGGTCGGCGGCGGCACGCCATGGCCACCCGGCTGCCTGCGGAGGTGGGCATGAGTCGGCGCAGTGTCGGCGGAGGAGCTCCAGCGTTTGTCACTCAGTTCACTTTTCCTCCCGCCTTCCGCGGGTTATACCCGGCGGCGTCGCTGGCGGGCTAGGTGGAGGTTAACTCGGGTCGTTGGAGGGGCCCCGCGAAGGACAGACGCCTTTTTCTCCAGGACCTGCGGGGGTGACTGTTGAGTGAGGGAGTAGGGATTCTGATAGCTCATAGGCGTGGATAGGTCCGGGGAAGATGATTTTCCGTTTGCAATTTCCTAAATGTTTTTGAAAAGGAGCACATTGCTCTTCTGACAACCGTTCGCTCCCAGACGACTGATTCTTCTCCCCCATTACCCTTGCACCCGCCTCCTTGGAGTTCCCTGTCCTGGCATCTCTTTCTGCCTTTCAGCTCTTCTGCATTCAGAGAAGTAGAGAAAAACTATTACCCTTCCCCATAAACCCGACAGTTTCCGACAATGTTTTGTAAGTGATTTTGTTGTTACCTAGTTAAGTGTTAGAAGCAGAGCAGTAAAACCCCACCAGAAACCAAAATTGTAAAACTGTGGAAATTAGAATTCTGTATCTCCAAAGATGACGTTTGTTCAGGATAGGATGGTCAGATTAGTAAATCTTAAGAGTCCGGATACTTTGGAATATTGGTGTTCGCCATAATGCGTTTAAAATCAGCTTTTTCAAACTTCTTGTATTGCTATAGGTGTACTAAAGTTTAGATTTTTTTGCTTACCCAACCAGTTTTTTTGCTTAATTCTTAAGGGCTGAGCAAAGCTTTAAAATTAAATCAATTTAAGTAATGTTTAAAGAGAGTCAGAAAATAAGATGGCAAGTATTTGTTTTTGAGTAGAGAAACTAAAAACCTTGCAATTACTTTCTGATTAAAAAAAAAGCTCACTGTACTGTTTGTGTGTGCCGGCATTATATCATGGTATGTCATCTTTCATATGATACTGTAAATGGAAGTTATAGCTTGACCATTCTGACTTTTTTCCCCATATATATATTTTTTCCATTAGAAAGTGACAGTCATATATCTCTTGGGCATTCATTTACAAGTTTGGGAAAGGAGAGGAAGCTAAGACAATTGAAGATAAATATGTGAAAACTCTTTTTATTCCATTTGAAATCTAAGTGCTAAAAAAATGCAACTTTTCTTTTAATTTTTTTAATTTTGAGGGGGAGATAATTAGGTTTATTTATTTATTTTAATGGAGCTACTGGGGATTGAACCCAGGACCTTGTGCATCCTAAACATGTGCTCTACCACTAAGCTGTACCAATCCTCCTGCGACTTTTCATTAACTACCAAAGTTAACAAAGGAGAGAGCTATTTTTACTTTCCTTTCAATTGCTTTTGTCCGTTATTATTTTGTATTTATTATGAGTAGTCTTTTTTTAACTTTATGTCAAGATATTATCTGTTAATTGTGCCACTTTTGTTATTGCTAATAAAATAAAATAACAACACAACATATATATGGAACTGAAGGGGTAGAGATCAAGTATACAAAATAGAGTAAAACAGATTTCCTATTCTGCATTCATATATTTTTTCAGTAAATACTCATTCAGTACCTGCTTGTGCCCAGAGCTAAAGATACCATGGTAAAGGCGGCTCTTGCTCCCTCGTCTTCAGAGACGGCCCACGCTCTGTCTATGGAGTGTGTATCTACTTTTACTTTAACCTGAGCACCCAAACCCCACACCTCGTGGCCTTTCTCTTGCCTTCTGAAACAGTCAGCACTCTATATAGTATGTATCTCTTTAAATTACCTTTACTCAAAAAAAAAAAAAAAAAAACAAAAGATACCATGGTGAAGAAGACAGATACGGCTCCCCGCAAAACCTACAGAGATGCACAGTATTACTTTATGTACCTGAGTGTTTGGTTTATTATGTCAGTTGATTGAGCAATTGAGTTAGATAAATTTGATGATACTGATTGCATATTTGGGGGAAAGTTTATACTACTTATTTGGACATTTAAGCATTGAGCATAAAAAATGAAGTTCTCTAATCAGATCTTAAAATTCACTTGTCATATTTTTTTCTTGTGATTTTTATGTGTAAATATATTCTGACAGATACTGTTTGACATATTTGTATGCATGATTTTCCCCATATATGTGATTTGATATGTAATCAGGCCTGTAGCATTTCATCATTTGTTGCAGTGTAGAGATTACTGGCTACAGCTCTTTATGATTAATACTTATTTAAACATTTGACAATTGATTTACTTAGAATAGTAGATTAAATAAAGTTAGGGTTTCAACATATAAGCAGAGTATAGCAGGATTTTCCAATTTTTGCTAACTTAAGAATCCACTGCTATAATCTTAGGACACCCAATTTCTAAATGCAGTTTTAAAAGGTAAATGAAGCAACTACTAGAAGAACAGATTTTTATTTAAATTTATACCAGTTTAGCCTTTACTTTCATGATATGGAGGCAAGAAAATAAAGATCTGGTACTGATCAGGATTAGTAAAATGTTGAATTGAAGAAATCTGAGAAATTTTAAGTTACAGAGATCATGTTAGTTACTTAGACAGTATTTGTATATTCAACAAATTTTTGAGCACCAGCTCTGTGCAGGTGCTTTGCCTGGTGCTGGGAATTCAGTTCAGTGCTCTCGTGGATGTTAAAGGCAAGAGTGGAAAGCAGTCGTTAATCCATGGACAACACATGAAATTACAGTTGTGTTTAGTGCTGTTGGAAAGTAATATGGCATGAGAGAGACCAAGTCTGGGGCTCAGGAATGGTTTCCTTGAGGAAATGAACTTTGAACTGAGATATGAAGGATAAGATTTATTTAGTGGCCTTGTAGTAGGAGAAACATAATTTTTTGAGGCCAAGACTTAGCCCTCAATGACCAAAGAGAAGGTGGCATAAAGCCTGGAAGGTGTGGCTGGCTATGTTAAAGAAAAATCATTGTCACTGTGGAAAAGACATTACAGGAGACAAAGAATAGAAGTGGGGAGACCAGTTAGGGGGACTCTTGGAATTGCCCAGGCAAGAGACAGTGGCACTTGGAATAGGAAGATCGTGGCAGAAGTAAAAGGACAGGTTTAAGAGATCCTTAGGAGATAACTTCAGCTGTTCTTGTTGGTGATTACATATTTGAGGGGACAGAGAGGTGATGTGGAGTGAGAGGTGTCAAAGATGACTTCTGAGTTCTGGAGCGGTACTGTGCCTTTCACTGTAGTGATAAAGAATTAAAGGAGACAATTTTTATTAATTTTTTTTTATTTGGTGAGAGGGAGGAGAAGGAATCCTGAATTTTTAAAACTGAAAACACAGCAGTCAGGGGAAAATCCTAGAAAGAGATTTTCATCTCCCCAAAATAGCCACAATAACTGTAACTAAAAATTTAAATAACAGTTATATTTCTCCAAACCTAAGATATGATGGATTGTAAGATACACCATTATTTTATATACCACTCAGAAGGAAAAAAGTAACAGCCATTTAATTTGTGATGCTAATAATTATAAGATAAATCGTGATTTTTTTTTAAAAAAAGGTGCTAAATAGGAAGAATGTACTTCTTGGAATCAGTGGAATAAAAGAGTAATAAGTTGATCAGGTGGTAGAGTAGTAGTAGAGCACTTTAGAGAACAAATAAAATGGTGGCTGCTGCCCTGCCACTGATAGATTTTTGAAGTTCTGTAATGTTTGCATAGAATTTAGTCACCATTTAGTTTTTTTTAACCATTTTAAGCAATAAATAACTGCTGTGTCTAACTGAATACTGTGCACATAATAGTTTTTCTTCTTAATAACGAATGAAGTACTTTAGTCTAAAGCTTATAGATGTAAGTAAAATATGAATGGTTTTAAAGGTTTATCCCTCTTATAGAAAACTGAAACATTGTTTCCTTACAGTTTGTCACTAAAATAAGTGGTGGAAATCAACTTTAATGTATCATTTAGGAACCTCATAAATTTTGAATAGTATCGTTACTGGGAAGCTGAGCATTTACTAGTGTAGCAGTTTGGAGGCCTAGGTTCTTATTTGATCTGCCTTTTATCTTCTGAATGACTTCTGGGAAATTATTTAATCTTTTTAACTCTCAATTTGTTCATCTGTAAAATGAGGATGTTGGTTGCATTCTGATTACCTCTAATATTCTTGAAGCTTAAAATAAAAAAGTAAAAGCATGCGTGTGTGTTTCATTTCAATCTTTGTCACTTAAGAGTATCATTGGAGCCCTCTGGTTCATTTGTCACCTTCCCCGCTTTCCAAAATGGGAAACCGTGTTTTCACATACTTTACCTTGATTGGCGCACAGCCTGGGATTGGTGAGGAAGAAATCTTACCACATAGGTTCAGCAAGAACTGCTGATAATCAAGTCCTTGTTTTTTATGCCCCTTTTCTCCTGCTACTTGTTTTCCTGTTTTGTCCAATTCTTAGGAAGATATGAATTTGATTTTTACATTAACATTTGAAAACCAATTGTCTGGTGAGAGAAACAGACTTGTAAACAGTATTACAGTAAAACATTCTATTTTGAGACCTCTAAAAGAGGCCTTAAAAACCCAGAGGAAAGAAAGATTACCTATTTGAGGGAGTTGGAAGGCTTTGCAGAGGAGGAAATGAAGTTTTAAAGGGTATGGGGAACTCCATCAGGAGATACAA